AAAAGAACACGGAAACTACTATAATGGGGTTACATTCGGATTTATATATTGGTGTTATATAGCAGGCAAACATGCTGTTGATGAACAGACTTCGGCACGACGCACTGCACAAAAGCCCTTATAATGTGTAATATCAAAGTGAATCAAAGTGTAATTCTGAAGCATATCCGTGGAACCATCCCAGGCATGCTTTGTGTACGCTTAACCGTAGTCAATGGCCTTCATGTGCCAATGGACCAACCCGGCGATACGTACTCTATTCCTCCAACAGAAACCCTAAAGTAGGTAAACTTCTTTTCCCAGACCCTACGACCCAAACCCCCAAAACCCATTGCTCCTGAGGCGATGATCCGAGCTTCGGCGAAGAACAATGCGGCGGTGACCATCTTGACCAGCCCCAGCCAGTGCCCGGGTTTGGGGGCTTAGGGTTTAGGATTGGAAGTTCCGGGCTTATTGTGTAGGGTTTTGGGGGTTAAGAGCTTGGGCCCGGGCTTAGGGGACTAGGACTTTCGGGCTTGGGTCTGTAGGGTTTAGGATGGTTTAGGGTTTAGGGTGGAGTTGGCCCAAGGTTGGGATTTTTTAGCCCAGGCAACATCACAATGTAAGGAGCCTGTCCGAGCAATTACATCCCGACAAGCTCCCCACACCCTAACAAAAAAAAAGGCAATATATGATAGTATGATTATATACCATGGGAGAACATTCCGTTTTTGTGGGTGGGGATACTCCACAGAAGGGGCAGGGGATTGCTAGCAGCATCAGGGAACTCAGCAACCAAATAGCCACACGAGTTTGTGGCAGGGGGCTGCTGCCACATATTTCAGTAATAAACCTTGATCTTCATCCACGTGCCTTCCATCGAGTACTTATCAACTCAGGGGTCGGCTTAGTTGGCCACAGTCGTGGAAACTCTAGTCTAGCAATGGGAGTCCTCTTGCAGGTGTGGTAGCTTCCAGAAATACGGCAACCAACATCACTTATTATGGGAACTCCAAAACAAAGTCGCCTCTAATTTTGGGAAACCTCCGTTTATATGGGCGAGTCGCAAGTCGTGTGTGTCTGTGGCTGTTTGCCCACACCAGACAGAAGGTTTAGGATTTAACGTTTCACCTCGCATGAGAACTTGGGTGTTGCAGGTACGCCAAGTTCACACAGGAAGTCTCCGACAATGCTGGCTGCACAACTTTTGCGTTTTGGATGGCAAAGTAGACCCAAGCATCTCATCACCGACAATCTTCCCGATTCGAACAACAGTGGCAAGGTTCTGTCGATTAGCCAGGCACGTCCATTTCAGATCTCAAGGCTCCAAGCCATGGTAAAACGAAATGTTCAGAACCATGCTGAAGCCCTGATTGCAGAACAAACTGGCCTCAAACCAAAATCCTTAAACTTGAAAGCCGCTTGATCCTAGACCGGATGTGCGAGGGTTGTGGGTATGCATGGAGGCAACTGAGGGGTAAGAGAAAGTGGTGTGTAATTGCGAAGACCTTTCCTTTAGGAAGAGAACAAACTCAAACAACACCCTCAACACACAAATTGAAACCGCCTGACACCTATGCATTCAAAAAACCATACACCATCTAAACCCCCTGAAGAATCCCCGCAAAGTCCTCGTCCGCTCTCGCCTGAGGCCTTCCGAAAGAACATGGCCGCTGCTGCCTACGCCCTCACTTCGTCGTATGACTCGGCCGTCAGCGCATGGATGGCTGGGGAGGTGTGGCAGTGGATTTGTGAACATCCCTTACTCTGCTCTATTATATTGAACTTTGCTACACTCTACTCTTAGTGCTGGGGATGGCATGAGGAAGAACATTAATGAAGATCATGAAACAGGACCCAGACTTCTTTTGTATTCGTCACTGTTTGGAGGACCAGACTTGGTCGTGCAATGTTATTCCTGCCATTGTGCGCAGCTTCGCATAAAACATGTCTGCGTCGGTACCGTCGCTATGCAAGTTACACCTGTTGCTGTTTTGTGTAAAGGTCTTGCCACTGAACCTTGCTTAGCCTTCAAAATCATCTGCATGCTTCCAGAGTGACCCACACCCCAACAGGCCGGAATGCAGAGTTTTTGTAGGGTGGTCACGACGCGGGAGCCTTGATGGTTATATGCCCTTCCCGTCATCCAACTTTGTAGGTGACAGAGCCCCCGAAAAAGAAGACCATCACTTTCGACTTGGCCATGCCGCTGAAGCAGCTCGGATTGTTAGTGGGTTTCCACCGGGATGTGTGCCGCTCTCTTTCCCTAGAGTTTGTGCAGCGGCTAGGAGTAAGCTTCCCATGTCAAGAAATTCTTGGAAGGACCATGTGTGCAACATGCTGCATGCATGCGGTCTTTTCACATGCAAACAATGGTTGGAAGTTGCAGTTCTGATGATGAACCGGCAGTCAGGCTCTCTTCTTCCGCACCACGCCCTGTTTTCCTGGAGTTCCCTTCTCATTCTTGTGGATGGCAATGTACCCACGGTCTGTAGTAAGTTGCTGAGTATTCGTAACTCGAGCAGCCAGACAGCTGCGCATCATATACCTTCCACAACGCAGGTCAAACCCTAAACCCTACATGACCCCTATATAAACCCTATATGAGCCCTATATGAAGCCTATATAACCCCTATATAAACCAACTGTGATCTTGGTCAGGCTACCTTAGAACAGAGGAATCTGCTCGTTCTGATGGGCTTCAAAGGAAGCAGGTTCTACATAATGAAGACTCCCTGTGGGTTTATATAGGGGTTATGAAGGGTTCATATAGGGTTTATAAAAGTGGTCATGTACGGGTTACAACGTAACAAAAAATCCTAGCAAGTCTGCAGCAAGGTATGGCTGCAACCCACATCAGCTGCCAGCTGGGCTGTGCGCCGTTGCAGGCAGTAAGCTGCCCTTTGAGGCCAGCAACTTGCGCTTTGAATGGTTCGCAAGTTGCTGAGAAGGCAGGTTTTGGGTTCCTACCTATCACAATGAAAATTTCAGCAAGAGGACTGTAACATTTTACTAGCAGCGTAGATTCCAACCATGCCCGTGTGACAAGAAGTTCGGGGCCTCGGAATTTAGGAGCACTCAAGCTCAGGATTTGGTTGCAGGAGACCTGTTAGGAAGGCTTTTGCAGCATTCGGTCATGGATCGGCAGCGCCCTTATGCCACAGGTGCTGAACGGCACGCCAGGCTACATCAACCTTCTCGCCGCTTGCTTGGAAAAGCCAGTGCTGTTCTGTATGAACAGTTTATGCTGCTACCCCTGTCGCACCCGCTTGTCCGCCGAAATTGCACAGACTATTCCTCTTCTATGGCTGCTGTTGATACTTTGGCTGGTTTTCTACCGTACTTCCACAAGGACGCAATCAACGCCTGGCAGCTGGTGCATGAGCTTGCGCAGGCCCAGCAAAGCTTGAGTGGCTGCAGTTGAGCTTAGGCTTGAGGACAGCCAGCATCTATACTTTGTCTGGTCTAGATGAAGCTGGAAGGGAGTTCATGTCGGTTCTAGTGCCACGCAGAATGATCAGGTAACGAAGCAAGGCGTGCCAGCATTGGGATTTCTTAATTATGCTGGCCGAAGAGTATTTGGGGGACTTGACCAGCTGGGCTGGTGGCTACTGGACAACCTTTGCGGACTTCCTTTGTATCTGAAGCTGCTCCTCGGCCTTCCAATCCCGCCTTTTCCTCAAGCCCCTGATGGGCCACTCACTTCAGGGGTTTTGAGTGCCCATTCTATTTCATGAAAACGTTAAGCCCTATACCCTATATACCTGTGATGGACCCCTGGAAACTCCAGAAAGGCCACCGGGCTCCCGGCCGCCGCCTCATTTAAGCACGTGAGCCCGGCCGGCGCTGCCATCGGGCTTCCCCTCAGTGACGAGGAGACACCTAAAGTTGACCGGCGTAGGGTTCAGGATGCAAAAATTGGAGCTTTAGGCTTATAACTATAATAGAGTTGAGTGTTTGAATTCATAAGTTCTGGTAAATGGTTAAGGATTCAAAGTTAATCAGGGCAGCTTAAGGTAGCATGGGATGGCTTATGCAGCAGGGTTTTGTTGGGATAATGTTTTAGGTTGCCCTTCCTTAGAAGTGTGGCTTTTCAGAGCAGGGTGCTGTAGTTGATGGGGTGCATAAGGGCTTGAGAATGTAACCATGACGATAGCAACAGTGAACATCGCTAAGCAAAGTATTAAACGTATCTGCACATTTGACATTAAACTGACAATCAATTATCATCATCATCATCTCCGTGTCTGTTCCTTCTGCTTCCAGCATGTGCACGTAATGCTGCTACCGTCTTATAATTAGCTGCGGTCTCTATACTGCATACGGCAGTTGTTAAGGTCATCTGCATTGTCGTCACAGCTGTTCCGGGTGTGTGTTGATCATTTCATCCACCAGACTACTTCCAACCGTAATCCTTGACATCTATGAAATTCGGCGACTCTTCTTGATGAAGATAGGGTGGAGGGAGAGGGATTGATGGCAGTTGTATTTGGGATCCTTCTTCTTGATTCTCGACCATGGCTCAATGCCACAGTTCAGGGGTAGCGACCGGCATGATCTACACTGGTCCAATAGGCTGCGCGTAGGAGCTCGGGGGGTAGTTTAATGCTTCTTGCCAGAAGATGAAGTGAAGTGTCTCTTCGATTCAGAGAAGCATTCAAGAATGGTTAGTGGACATCATCATGATGATCGTTTGATATTGTTTGCATGTTTCCCATGTCATAATTGCCGCTCTGCATGTGCGCACACAATTGCACACCCGCACACGCACATACACATATATGAATATGTAGATATATGCGCACTCGCATTCGGAGTAGGATTGATGTTGGAATGCCATCTGCACTGAGGCTGCTTCATGAATTGGCGTGGGTGATCCCCAAACTCTAAAGTTTGTTTAAACGAGCATGTGATGCTACAAAAAATTCAATCATCCATGACAGCCATGTCATTTACCTTTGCATAGGAACAGAGGCTGGTCTTATGTGATCGGAGGAGAGGTTAGTCTACGAAGTCAAGGATAAAGAGCTCACGGATGTCTCAGCTGCCTACGTGCGCGCGAGGACCGCGGTGGCAGGGCGTAGGGGAACTTACAAGTAGCAGTTGCCGAAATCCCGGAGTGATCATGTTGCAGCCGGTGTGGACCATACAACGACTTCATAGGCCATGGTGTCCATAGAGTCCTAGTATCAGCTGCTTAATTAATGGGGCTCAGACCTTCCACATATGGGGTTGGCGGGCTGCATGCGGGAAAGGTTTTGGGATCGCTGAATTTGAGAGCAGCTGAGCGGAAGCGGGAGCCAAAGTTTATCGACATGACCTGTCCTTGGACTCCTGCATTCCTACACGGCAAAGCCTATCTCAAGACTCCGACAAGCACCGAGCAGAGTGAATCTACGTAAGGTTGTCGTGAACCCCCATCAAGAACATTGTACCAGTCCTGTATGAACCTTCTTATGCAACAACACGGTGTCCTGAGGAACGCTGATCCCATGTGCTCCTTCGGTGACTTTGTTGCCATCTCGCACGAGGCCAGTGTGGGATCCTGGTAGGAACAGACTTTGGGACTTACGGTTTCGGGTAGGGCTTAGGTTTGGGTTTTAATGCACTTTGGATTCTGATAGGAAGCCAAGATTTGGGGATGGGTTTATGCCAGTTAAGTGTTTATTAGCAACAACAGTAACATTAGGTTTTCTCATGGAGACTGGAAGCAATGCTCGGGCAGTGCCTTCTAAGGCTCCGAAGGTCAAGCATCTTTGTTTTTCCAGGAACCGGGACATTTAGTGGTTGAGAAGCTGGGCTGAGGCTTTGCACGGCAACTGAGTCTTCCCCAAAACAGGGTCCCCCTATTCCCAAGGCAGCTGGACAGGAATTTTCTTGGTTGAAAGGGTACGAAATCGCGGACACAGAGTGAGACGCCTTTTTACTCTTCGCAGTTGAAGCTTGAAATGCTCTAGAGATTCACCCCGAATTCAGAGCAGTGTAGACCCTCAATAATCCCCAATATTGTGGTCCCAGGTTCCTCTCTGATTATTATGGCATTGGTTACTCCAAATTGGACGTCAACATGATGTTGGTAATCAGTCGGGCCCCTATGGCCCTATAGTATTTAAGGATGGTCTCAAGGCTTGTCGCTTACCAGTTCCAGGATACCACAGCTTCAGGGCAGCAGGGTTTAGGGTTTAGGGCTTAGGCTTTAGGGTTCAGGGTATCAATGTCTTGCCAGACTCAGCTTTAGATATGATATGACTATGGCTATGAGCCAAACAGAAACTTTCCAACACAGTTCCTGATGCAGGGGCCTTGGCAAGCCTCACGCTCTTGAAAAAAGGCAGCAAGGTGAAACCAACTTGATGTAGGAGCCTGTACCCTTTCCCCTGATGTTCCTCAAGTGAGCTATATAGTCTCAACTCCTAGTATCCCCCTGAAAAACCTTGTAATTAGTACTCTCCTACATAATCTCCTATATGACCCACTTTAAGGAGTTTAGATTATAGCTCAAATGATTGTAGTGTGATATAAGATGATTGTAGTATGATATGGAGGTTCCCCGAATTAGGGGTACCTTTTTGTGGGGTCACCATAATAAGGATTATAGTCTTTTCGGGGTCTAGATTGGGGTCTCCCCAGTTAGGGAAACTACTATATACATTTGTCAAGCCCTAAACCCCAAACCCTATTCTGATAATCTAGGTCTTTACATTAGGAACACACGCATGGTGATGCTGTCAGCTGCAGATCTCCTTTTGGAATGCTGCTACTATGTTTTGCGTGGCTCCAAAACTTACAGCTCTTTTTCTGAGGGTATTGTAGGGGACAGGTATAGGGGGGTATATCAGGGGACCCACATTTTTGGGACTGTCCATCCTCTCTTATTGTAAGACTGAGATGATGCTTGTTAGTCCCACCCCAGTCTCACAGGTGGATGTGGCCACAGCGATGATCCTGAAGATCGAGGCATTGCACAAGGGTCCCATGAGAGTTCTGGATGAGGAGTTTGAGGGGGCTGGGTGCTGTCTCGTGGCTGTGGTGGTCAATTTGACTTTGCGTCCGGTTGTAGGGGTAGTAGCAGCAAGCGAGATTTCAAGTTGCTGCTGGTTGTTTCAGAGATGTCCTCTAAAAAGTGATGATGAGGCAGGATGGCCATGTGTAAAGCTGGTGGTTCCAGTGATTGTGGTGGTGTGCTGATTATAGGATGGACGACCACAAAAGTGGTGATGATGTTTTCTACCGCTCTCATTTCTGCATGCACGTTCTGTCAAAACCGCTTCTTCTTCCACATTCTTGGTGCGCTGACGGAGAGGTCAGCGATGGCATCATTGCGCCATCCTTCAAGCCGGAGGCACTGTTTGGGTTTAAGTTTAAGGTGTCGGGTTTGGGGTAGCTCCCCTCCAATTCTACTGAGGTAGCATTTTCAAACAGGGATACGAGGGTCCCAATCTCGAGGAAGATCCTTTGCTCCTTTCAGGGTAATTATGGTATTCCACAAGGAGGATAGAACCTTACTTGTTCCAACGACCAAAAATCAGTGTTGGATACAGTTTATATACTTTGCAAGGAAACGCAGTTAGCGTCATGATATAGCCTAAACCCTTAAACCCTA